GAGGGTGAACTATATCTTGGCTGCAAATATCAAACTGTGAATCCTTAGTTTTCTACAGCTGATAGCGGTTGGTCATTAATTGTGATGAAGTTTAGCAGCTTCTCGGTAAACACTTGAGCTCCGGGGCTTCAGCGGTCTGTTATTCTTGTTCAGTCCGGAGACGGCAGTCTGAGTTCGGTCAGCTGCGCTCAGTCCGCCCCTCCTCCGACACGGGTAGACTGAGCGCGGCTGACCGAAATCAGACTGCCGTCTCCGGACTGAAGGAGAATAACGGACCACTGAAGCCACGGAGCTCGAATGTCCAACGTAAAACTAACTTTACTGTGGTTTAAGGTGGCGCTATGGCTCTGCAGACGTTGCTGTCTTGTTTTGTGGTGTTTCTAGTGTAAAATACTTCCACACAGCGGACACGTTTAGATGAAAAGTTGGTTAGCTGTTAGCCACAGTGCTGCTGCACGTTGTAGCTGCTGCAAACTATGAACTGGATTTCCTGAATGTGAGGCGGGTCTTATTACTCTGGGTTCATGAGACGCGCCTCCGTTCAGGAAATCCATTCCATAGTTTGAAGCCAACGTGCATCATGGATCGAAAAAATCCGATACGTAAATTATGTTGGTATGGGAGCCCGATACCGATACTGGATCGGCCCCATCCCTAGAATAATCATTAACTTCCTGGTAGGCTACAGTAGTTGTTACTTTTTTAACCTTCAGTGTTTCAGGCACTGTTTATAAAAAACATTTACTGTATTTGTGTATGTTACCGGTACGTATTTAATTTAAAAAATCTCTATGTAAAAATCTCATGATACAACGTGGACACTTGCAGCTTAGCGCAGCCTATATATGTTAAATATATTATATATATATATATAATATATTTAGAGTGCGCGGTTTATATTTGGGTGCGCTCTATAGTCTGGAATCATTAACTTGATTCATTGTCGTTTGTTTTTATTACGAGGTGCAACACGTTCTGTTCTGCACAGATTTATTTTAGTTTATAAAATAAAGTGTGCGTCTCGTACTGTGGCGGGGTTGTGTGAAGGCGGCGGGGTAAAGACCCTCTCGCCCCTCCAGCCTTCCTCTCCTCCACTCTGCGTCGACGTGCTCCGTCACTTCAATCAGCGCCCCCCTGTGGAAGGAGAGGTCCTCCGAGGTCTGACCGGGGAAGTCGAACAGCGCTACGACCCACTCCTAAAAACACACAAACCACGTTTTACTCTCATCTTTCATTAAAACATCAGCGTGCAATGAGCGCTGAACTCAAGAAAACAAATTAATGATGATAACACAAGTTAAAGATAATTATTAAAACGCACTGTATGGAATAAACAGGAACTATATTCATGAGTTCAGTTTGAATCAATCAAACTCACCTCTGAAGGTTTTAGTGCCGCTGAGGAAAATAAAAAAAGAAGTTATTAGAATATAAAGACGAGAAAACTTTATTTTAAAATACTTTAACGTGATGAAAGAAAAGACAGAAGGACGAAGTTTCAGGCACTTTATTAAACCTTGTAACGTCTTTCAGGGGGAATCAGCCACACAGTCACTTTTGTTTGTTTTTATTTATTTATTTTGGTGCAGTCAATAAAAAACTTTTCCAAAGACTCTCCACTCATGTTCCTTTGAGGAAACATCTGCCACAGTAGAATATATTGTAAAAAATAATTTTAATCTCATATTTATCACATGGAATGGGGGAGTGGTGGCGCAGAGGTTAGAGAAGGTGGGATCGGAAGGTCGCTGGTTCAACTCCCAGGACCGACAACATCAAAATGTGGGGGTGATAGGTGAAACACCTGCCTCCACCCTCATCTGCCCCACTCTGAGCCCTTGAGCAAGGCCCTTAACCCCCACCAGCTGCTCCCCCGGGTGTCCCAGATGCAGCTCTGTGCTCCACACAGAGGGCGGTGCTAGCTTGGTGGTTGAGTCAGGAATCGCCAAGTCTCCGTGAGTTAGTTCGCTGTGGTGACCCCTGAAGAAGGAGCAGCCGAAAGAAGAAGAAGGTGCTCCACTTTATTATTTGAGAAGCTCTGACAACATCCACGGTTCTTCTCACACCTTCTTCTCCAGCCAGAGTCTCTGTGGAGTCCCGCCTCTCGTCTCGTGCGACAAAGCGTTTTTATTTTGGAGGTAAAAAGTAAAAACTCTTGTAATGTGCACGAATAAACATTTAGTACTAAAAAGCTGCTTCGCATGCATGCAGGCTGCAGCAGCTGACGCTCCACGGCTGCAGGAAGTCATTCCCGGGTGCAGCGTGCTCCTGCAGCTCGCGCGCATGCACGTGTCGTTACAGACAGAAAAACATTAAAACCGTGTCATGGCTGCCTCAGAGGAGTTGACGGGGGAGAGGGTGGGCCCCAGAAACCATCTTATCACCAGCAAGCTGGTTTGTTTCAGCTATGGGAGTGTGCTGCTTGTGGGACTCCGTTTGTTTGGTGGCTCTTCAGACTGAAGAAGTCCTTTGGATGAAGGACGAAACGTCTCAACAAAAAAAAGAAAGCGTCTGGATGACTTGACTGAACATTGTTGGACTTGTACCTGATTATTGAGCACGACCTTCGATAGATCGTTAAAACTAACTGTGATTGCATCACGGGCAGAGTTTAAAACACAATAAAAAAATTAAATTAGAAAAAAACCTTCACGTTTAAAAACCGGCAGACTCGAGTAACAAGGTCTCGTTTTCAGCTGCTGGATCTGAAGGATCCGGTGGACTGGAGGTCTGGAGGTCTGGAGGACTGGAGGACTGGAGGTCTGGAGGACTGGAGGTCTGGAGGACTGGAGGACTGGAGGTCTGGAGGTCTGAAGGACTGGAAGACTGGAGGACTGGAGGACTGGAGGACTGGAGGACTGAAGGACTGGAGGACTGGAGGACTGGAGGACTGGAGGACTGGAGGACTGGAGGACTGGAGGACTGGAGGTCTGGAGGTCTGGAGGGTCGCCACAAAACCCTGGACTGGAATTTTTAAAGAATTGTCCAATAATTATTTTGGGTGTACTAATGTGGAGAAATAAATTATTTTTTATTACAGTAAAATAAAAATTTTGTGCAATTTAAAAAAAAAAACTGAAACGTGGAGTTCTTTTAAATAAAACCCGTAAAGAGTTCAAATAAAGTATTTTAAATTGACAAGTTATTTGTGTTATTTCCCTTTGGGATTAATAAAGTATTTTTGAACTGAATTTGTGGAGGAATATTAAAAAAACGGTAAGTTTGAGAAGTTAAATTAGACGATCGATCTTTCTCCTAAGGAACATGAACGGACATCAAGTTAAAGGACGATACAAAGGTTAAGATCAAACGCTCTTTTTTTAAATACACGGTTTTCATTGACTGTTGGTCCCAAACAACAAGACTACAAACACATGATGCTGACGAGCCCATCCTGAAACCTGGAGCCTGATGATGTCGTAAATAAATAACTCGTACGAGTTACGTCGCGCTGCTCAGACACTGACCTTGGAGGATGACCTTGGAGGAAGTCTGAAGTCCAAACTGAAGAAGATCCGCTGCTCTTTTCTAGAACCAACTGCTGCACAGACATGAAGCGGTTTCCTGAGCAGCTGAATCTGAATGTCCAGGTTTGGACCCGGAGACGGAACGTAGCCGAGGTTTTACGGGAGGTTCCGTTTGTGGATCAGCCACGTCTTTATTTACGCAAACTGGGATTTGATCACGAACGCGCTTTAGAAACGTTGGCGGCATCACTCTAGATGTTTATTTCATCTGTGGAGACGTTAAAAACCGCAGAAGAAGAAGAGCGCAGTAGAAAACGTCCAGCTCACCAGAACTTTCCATCGCAGCGTCGTCTGTCGCCTCCGATGATGTCGTCGGCGCTGGGAGGGGCTCCACCACCTCTGTGAAGCTCAGAGGAAATATTCCAACCCGCTTGTGTATCTGGCCCCGCCCCCACGCCTCGTCGACGAGCTCCAGGAGGGCGATGAGGTCGCCCTGGGAGAAGGTGAGCTCGTCGTCCTTCTCACCGTCGTAGTCGAACAGAGCGATGCATCGTGGGCCGCTGCAGGGACACGCACCACGATGGGTACACGGTTTGTGTGACGCCTTCACAGGTTGTGATGTTGTGCGTTTGTTTCACCTGACGGGAGGCGGATCTGGCTGCTCCTTCTGCTCCTTCTGCTCCGACAGGATGGACTGAAGAAACAAACACACGTCAACACGAACAAGTTAAATAAAACGACGTCGGAGCGAGAGAGGACAACGTTCTCATCGTGAAGACTTTGTGCTGGTTGTGTTTGTTCAGTTTAATCATCACCGAGTCGCTAATTAGAGCCGTTTAAGACCCTCATCTATGAAAGACTTGAAGGTTCATCTGACACGCTGGTGTCATTTTAACTACAGTTTACAAACAGAAGGTGCCTGAAACGATTAAAACCGACTCCACTGAGTTTAAATGTGCAGTAAAAAGATGCTGGGATATTTGGATATTGTTGTTTTGTGCAGGTTTTATTTGAAAATGGCCGCGTGTCATATTTGTCTTTCACAGCAGCTGAGTAAAAGATGCAGAGCATTTCATTTGTCTCGTACTTTTCACCATCCAAAGTGAAGACTGGACTTGGATGAGGTATAAATTAAGTACCGTAATTACCGGACTATAAGCTGCTACTTTTATTTCACACGCTTTGAACGCCACAGATTATACAAAACTGCGGCTAATTTATGGATTTTTTTTTTGTGACGGACTAACGAGCTTCATGCCGCCAAAACATTTAGCCTCGTCACACCCGGGCGCTCACATGCTACCTAATACATCTTGGGAGGCGGGTCCTCGTGACTCAACATGACTACCTGTATGAACAAATGATTAAAAATAATTCAGTAATCTGACCAATGACATTATGAAACAGGTCACGGTGGACCAATAAAACTTCGTTTCATTGATCCACTCCTCTCCATTGTGCCTCCAGGGAGGGGGGAATCTTCAGTGGGCGTGGCTTATATTCAGGTGCGCTCAATAGTCCGGACATTACGGTAATTAAGTTGTGCAAACACTATAATAACTCATTTTAATCAGGAACTAGCAGGGAAAATAATTAAATAATAATAAAAGTTGTAAAGTGTTCTAATAAATTATTCAATTTTGAGCCTTTTCCCATAAATTTAAATCAACAAAAGTCAAAGAATTACAAACAAACAAAAAGTTGGACTGATGTGTCTCTGACCAAAATGAATTCATCTTCAGTTTGTTTCAGTTTAACAGGAAACGTTTGGGTGTACCTGCTGGTTTCCTTCTAGAGCAGGTTTGGACTGGCTGTCCTGATCCTGGACCGGCTCTGGCTGGGGGTCCTGGTCAAGAAGACTCTGGGAGGGGGTGATGAGAGGGGGGGCTGTGGTCTGATCCGTTCCTTCAGAGGGTGCAGGAGCTGGATCATCCAGGACGATCAGGACGTCCTGCTTCTGAGAAATAAAGTGAAATAAAATTTAAAAAACCTGAACTTGAATAAAAACAGTTTGAATGTCTGGTACCGTGTAGTTGTTGTAGAGGGGGTGTCCGAGCTGAGGGCGGGGCGGCAGAGGCGGGCCTTTCTTCACTACCCTTTGCATCTGATTGGTTGTCACGGGAGAAGACGAAGCCGTCTGCGACGATGGACGATGTCCGGCAGGAGGGGTGGAGGGGGCGGGCGCAGCTTTAGAAGCAGGGCTCTGATTGGCTGCGGGTGCTGAATCGACGACCGGAGGAGGCGGTCTCTCGGGGGCGGATTTGATTGGTGGAGGACGAGAACTTGGCGGAGGGAGGAGCTTAGCACTCGTTGGACTTTAGGAACAAAAACAGCAAAGAACGAGTCAAAACGCAGCTTCCAGGAAAAATCAGTAAAACACAAACAGAGAAGATGTTTATCAAGAAGAAACTCCTGGTGACTCTGGGACATCACGCCCTTCTAAAGGAGCTGGTCTAGACCTCTGATCCTCGTCCGCAGTAAAACCAAGTCCAGTTCAACAAATCCCCATTAAAGCTCCAGGAGGACACTGGTTTTGCAACACAAACCTCTTCGGCTTGGCAGCCGGTTGTCGTTCATTCTTTTCGGCTGCTCTTCTCTGTATAAGTCGCCACTGGGAGCGTTTTACGCCAGAGGCCTTTCCTGATGCGACCTGGACTAAAACCTGCAACCTCTGGATAACGAGACCACGGCTCTGACCACTGAGCTACCACAGACCCTTGAGCTGGGCAGCCAGAACCGAACCAAACGGGAGAATCAAGACGTGGGTACCCTGCAGGGCTCCACTCGGACATTAAATTAATGTTTTGGAACAAAACATGGTACAAACCAGAGAAAGGAAACAAAGCAGCCTCTTTTATTTTACTACTTTAGCTGCTGGATCGGTGACAACAGTTTGTCTACAAATAAATCAGACTTCAGTTCTGCAGAATAACTAAGGCGATAAAACTACGACCGTAACGTGAATTTTTAAAACCCAACGGTTGCAAAAGTTTCCTGTTCTCGCTGCATTACAGCAGGAAATACAGCGTGAGTGACAAACACTGGACAACAGAGCTGTCTACGGTAAAACACGAAGAACAACAGCTAAAGTAGATGAAATGCTAGCTGAACGTAGCAAAACGCTCGCTAAAAAAATGAAACAAAATTAGATTTAACACTCAAGAGAAGCAAAACACTAGCTAAAACTGACTAGCTTAAAGCTAAAAGTAGCACAACACCAGCTAACGGCAGCACGCGAGGTAAAGGCTGTGCAGCTTCTCAGTCATCCTGGACATGGTAAATAGAAAAAAGGTTAAAAATAAAAGTGCAATTGGATTTTTTTTATATAAAGTTCTTCTGGATTCATGCTAGCTAAATAAAAGAAAACACTAGCTAAACGTAGCAAAAATGTAGCTCAAAGCAACAAAGCACAAGCTAAAACCTAAAAGTAATTTGTTGATCAATCTTAGCGATCGCTCGTGTCTCTTCAGGGTCATAAACAGGGAAACAGAAACCTGCCCCGTACAGACTAACAGACCTTTAGCTAACAGCTTGTTTAGACTCAACAACATCGACTTTATTCTGGTACCGTGGAGGAGGAGGAGAATCTGAGGACTTTGGGTTTGGAGGGTTGGCAGGTTCAGCTTTGGTCTGGGTCACAGGGCCTTTCCTCGTAGCCGGGGTCGGGGGTTTGGCTGGTACCGAAGGTTTGGGAGCTGCAGCAGAGGCTACAGACGGTGGTCTGGCAGGGACCGGGTTTGGATCTGGACGTGGTGGTGGGACCGCTGTGGGTTTGGGAGCCAGGTTTGGAGCTGAGATCAGAAAGAAAATGTCAAGAATCAATTACTCAACACACAGAAAGTAAACTTGACCATCAACGTCAGTAAACACAGCAGTATATAACTTCTAGTTAAACGAAACTCGGACCATTAATTAGAACCAAACCGATAAATCGGCAGGGCCGATATTTAGGTGTTATATCGATATGTCGGTGTTGGGGGACATATCGGTATCGGTGATAAATGTCCCATTATGCACTGATATAAACACTTATAATTTTCATCCCTAAAATGCTGGAACCAGCTGTAATTGTACAGTGAACCCAGCAGGGGACGCAAGAGGACTACTCTCAGGCCATGGCCGTTCACTTTAAGTTTCACTTTCAGCGCAGTCGAAGCAGCGAGCAACACTGCGCAGAGTATTTTGCTGAACAGAGCTTAAGTTTATTTGAACTGATCTGTAAATCAAATCAACAATAATAAATTATCTTCAATCCTCCAACCCGCTTGTCATTAGCTACGTGCCTCTCAAGTTAGCAAGCTAACGTTTAGATAACACTTGATATCTTTATGGTGAATAGTGGAGGACAGAAAATGTGAACGCACGTTAGGAAGACCGTTTCAAGACTTCGTGTTAAAACAGGTTTAAAAGTAGCTGTTTAGATTCTTGGGGTGGATGAAGCTCAAATATTGTCTGTCAATATATCGGTTATCAACATTAGCCCGCTCGCACAATATCTGTATCGTGATAGCAAAAAGTTCATATCAGTCGGGCTCTGCCATTAATGTCAGTAAACACAGAAATAAACAACTTAGTTAAAGGGAATGTGACAAATAAGGAACACGGGGTGGAAAACATGACAAAGAGTAAAATGAAAACTGACAGGCATGTGTGTTGGTAGATTTGTACTTTGAATGACTGAATCTTCATGAACTGATTTGTAAAATCATTTTAAAGGTTTGTTTGTCCGTTAAAATAATCTCTGATGAGGCGGCAGCACCCTCTACAAGTCACTAAATGTGTTTCATGTCACGTGGCAGTTTCTGGACAAACAACGAGCGCTGATAATTTGAGTTCCTGTCGAGATGTCCAGGTAACAAGTGCTGCCCGTGTGGGGTCACGTCAGTTCAGTAGGAAGTCCAGCAGCCTGGACCAGGACCGTTTGTGTTCAGAGGAGCAAACAGATGCAGTTCAACAGGGTCCAGACCACCTCAGCAGATCTGAGTGAGGACGTCGTCCAACACACGGAGGCCTTTCGGACCATCGACTGTCTTAAAGACGGACAAAGAGTCTCCGCTTCCTCTCATGGATCAAACTGAAGCCAAGTGTCCGTTTGTGGGTGCCATGATGTGTTTTTGGAGCTGGAGGCTGAATGTTGGAACGTGCAAGCAGCAAGGTGAGCGCTACGTGAACCAAACACTGGCCAGAAAAATTATACTGGAACCAGCTGACAGGGGGTGCACG